ATACCAAACCAACCTTTTTTCTATAAAATGGTTCCATTAATCATGTTTGTTATATATTTTTAATCAAAGTGGAAATCACTTTACTAAATAATGTAAACTTGACTGACTGCTTAATTTCCACTTTAAGGGTGCGTTCACACTTGTAGTTTGGTTCTCTTGGTCCGGACCAACAAAAGAAAATGATACATTTGGTCCTGGTCCGCTTAGCGTTCACACTGGCATTTTTGACAGCGAACCTAAAGATACCGAACCTAATACATTCACAACCAGGTTGGTCGGGCTGAATGACGTATATTTCGTGATGGAACTCACGGAACACCCCCCAAAAATGGTGTGTTCGACTTAAAGCGGCACTGTGCAGAACGATCGGTGTATGATATCAAAGTACCCATTCACTGATCGGTCTGCTCATCGCCGCTTTAAGTCGAAAACACTAATGCCGTCTGCTGGACTAAGCGCGCTCATTGTTGCGTGTACTTATGATTTTATTTTCACCACCTGCAAACTCACTAAGAGCTCATAAAAGGCACTTTACCTCCTCGTTGCTCCACGTTTGCCCTCTGCTCATTTTGTTTTGGATACACTGCTCGTTCTGCGTCGTCAAATCATGTTGCATACCCTGCAAACAAGCCTGCGGTGGCCCTTTATGGGCCCACTTAGGGCAAGCCTAAGGGCCCCCAGCGGGCTGCCAGCGCAGGGCCCCTGAGAATTTGCTCATTTGCAAAACGTTGGCCCCTTAGCACTGGCCCTCACTTAGCCCCCAGGAAGCCCTCACTATGCCCACACAGGGCCCGCACTATTAATCTACAACAATACATCTGTTTCTCAATAAATACTTTCCAGTTACTATAACTTAAGTCTTTGGGAAAAACAGTTATTATACATCTGAAATTGATGCGGTCACCACATAACTAATGTCTGTATTGTCAAAAATGTACAGTTGTCAAAGGGATTTCAAATCAATGGATTTATTAAATACAAAATAGAAAACATTCAATTCAGGTTAATACAGCTACATATAGCCAAAAATTTTAATACACAAAAGTACAAAAAAAACAAACAAAAGAAAGCAAACAAAGCAATGTAAGATTGTAGGATTTGTCATGTGAAAGTTGATGTGTGCTTATTTGTAGTACATCAATGTCCAAACACTGTCCATAGCTGAAGTTGGCTGATAGCAAATTAATAATACAACCTCTTGTAATGAAAAAACACCACAGCTCTCAAACACCAGAGTCTTCCTAACCAGGAACAATCAAAAATAGTCCAGACTATGGTCTCACCTCGAAAAGAACTTTAAATCCATATTCAAACTGGACCATGATGTGGTGAATGACCAATAAAGAGTCCTTCTAAAATGCATACAAATACACTGTCTGAAACTTTTAGCATCAATCTAAACATAGGCCATACATGCATGTAACATCTCTGCACAAAAAAAATCAACTCCTTACTATAACTGGGCTTGAAATGACACATTTTCCAACCAGGACACAGCACAAGTTACACCTCATATATGACTCGTGAGACCCACTTTCCTGCAGAGTTTAGCTCCAACTTTGATCAAACTCACCCACCTGTGGTTTTCTAATGATCCTAAAGACATGCTCTGGTGTGTTTGATTGGGGTTAGAACTAAACTCTGCAGGAAAGTGGATCTTGTGAGCCAGATTTGAGGATCCGTGGCCTATATGAAACAACAGGTTCTGAAAAGGTCTCTTTTGGTTTGAGCCATTCCAGGTCAATTGAGTGGCTAAAGAATGGCCAGTCAATGTTGTTTGTATTCTCCTAGTTGCATTACAGGGCTGCCTACACAAAACCTGCATGGGCCCAAAGGATACAAAAGTTGCTCTGGGCCCGAACGGACTGGCCCACACTGGGCCATCATGGGATTAATGTGGGCAGTGTGGCGCTAGCGTGGCCTGCTCACAGAGAGCCCGCGGTGAGCCCAAAGCTGTGGGCCTAAACACTGTGGGCCTAAACACCTAAACACTGGGCCTGTTTAGGTTTGGTGTGGGCTGGCCCAAGCCCACTGTGCCCACAAAAAGCCAGCATGGGCCCCGCAGGAGCATGTTTGCAGGGTAGCGTCTCATCTTGTCATTACTTCCTGTTTTTGGTTTGTTTATAAGTATTTGGAGAGATTGTTTGGAAGGAATTGTTTGTTTTAGCGGTCTCGGTCCGCCTGTTTGTTGCGCACCAGGGTTTCCCCCTTTGGTGCGGATTTTTGGGCAGGTGTGAATACAGAAATCGCACTCTGGTGCAGACCAAACAACCGTACCGAGACACAGCTGAAGAGGTGGTCTCGGTCCGCTTCCAAATGAACTCTGGTATGGTTGAATGGATGAAACAATGAATGGATGAACTTAAACACACGTGTGGTTTTGTTTACAGTTTCTGGTTCACTTGCAAAAAGGGCAGTGTGAAAGTGAACCACACCAAACAAACAAAAAAAAATCAACATTGTATTTGGTCCGCACCAAAGCAAGTGAACTAGTGGACTTTCCTGGTGTGAATACACCCTGAACCGCACTAACAGAGCAATCGCACCAGGGTTTGTTTTAATTCAGCCAAACATGTTCACAAGTGTGAACACGCCCGAAGGCACCTATACCTTTAGAGGTAAATAAGGTACAAAGGCATACCTTTTGAAAAGGTACAGCCCCAGTGACAGCATTTGTAACTTTTTTTTGTCACTGAGAGTGTAAGTAAAGTGAAAATATTATGCTGGAAGTTCAAGCAAAAGTGTATTTTTTTCACCTCAAAAGAGGTTCAAACTGACATTGTATTCATATTATAACCTAAATTCATTAACACAACTAGAATCTCTGATCTGAAATTTCTATAAAATTATATATTTAAGAGACGTTCTTAAATAAAACACTTATAGCCATATTTCACATCTATTCAAGAGGGACTCAATAGAATAAATACATATTCGCCCTTGGAGAAAAAAAGCTGATACGTAGTTCTCTGCATAAGTCTACAAAGTGGAAGTGAGGACTAGTGTGGAACAAAGAAGTAAATATGGGACTGCAGCGAACAAAAGCGCAACTATGTCCAGCTCTTCTTCCATATCTTTTCAATCACTTCCTCCTTTAACAATATGATAATACAATTCGTGTCACACATGCGGAGGAATATATCTTTTCTACTCTTGGAAAATTGAAGAGCGGCTGCTGTTGAAAAGAGAAACCCAGGACATTTAACACATTGGTAATCTACAGGGAGATGTCTAGACAGAATGTGCCAAAAAAAAAGTGTGTGGCTCTAAAGCAGCACAAATCAATGATAGCCTTACTCGTCCGCTCTCTCTCTCTCTACCTCCAATCCTACAGGCCGAGACAGCTCCTCTCAAAGAACATCTGAATCTACCTAATGGAATGGAAAATTGGGGGAAATGGGGAGTCAGACCCGAGGGGATATCTTTCCCCACTGTACAGTTTTCACATATTTAACACAGGCGCTTCTACAACCTTGCCTTGCACATCAGCGAACACATTAATGCACATCACCCAGTCGTAAAAGTGCCAGGGCCATTTCCAGATATTAATATAACACACTCAAAGTCATGCTGTACTACTCCGTCCGTACCCTGAGGCCCGCCTTTACCTAGTCACATAATAGAGTTTTAAACGCTTTGTAGCTCACTGTTGAGAATGATCTAAGTGTGTGAATGCAGGCGCTGCTAGCTTCGCAAGCTCAGTTTTGTGATGCTGAAATGTGTCAAACCACAATTCATACACAAGTAGGAGCTGCTGCAAGCATAAGCTGTCTACAAAGGTCAGTTTTCTCGCTGAAGTCAACTACTGTCATGAAGGAAGAGAATCTTCACTGTACAAAAATGTTTTCCCATTGTTTCTGTGCTCACCTCCTGTTTGCCTTGTTTGTTGCCATGGTGTTTCATAGGCTCCTCCCCCCTTGTTAACTCGTTTGCCTGTGTATATATATATAGCTCTGTGTTTCCTTGTTCATTTGTCTGACGACGTTTTCTTGTAGATGCTTGTCATTTGTTCCTGTTCTGCTCCTGTTCCGTGCTATCTTGGTTTATCTGTGTTATGTTTTATTCCTTTTTGTTATTAAACCTACTCTGCATCTGGATCCGCCTCATCTCGCTCTTATTACTCAGCATTACACATGTTGTCACGACTTATTGATCATGCCATTTTTTACAATGTTGTTAAATTCGTTAGCTAAAGCCGGCATTGCTTTAATTAGCCAGCAAAACAATATCGGAACTGATGGCACACACTTGACGGTAAGTTTAAACCATCAGATTCATCTGCACGGAAGAACTGACAAAGAACTGAAGTATTTTTCCATCGCAAGTAAATTCAACCACAGATGGCGATAGAGAGCCCAGAATTGAATACTAGTGCAAACTTCACCACTGTTCAAATATCTAGTCAGATTTTTTTTTTTAATTAATTTAATTTTATTTAGTAAGAATGTATTAATTTGGTCAAGTGACAGTAAAGACATTTATAATGTTACAATAGATTTCTATTTACATTGTTCTTTTTAACCTTTTAGCAAAGAATCCTGAAATCAAAGTAACACGGTTTTCACAAAAACAGCACAACGGTTTCAACACTAATAATAAATCTTTCTTGAGCACCAATTCAGCATATTAAAATGATTTCTGAAGGATCATGTGACACTGAAGACTGGAGTAATGTCAAATTCAGCTTTGTATCACAGTAACAAATTACATTTTAAAATATATTAATCTAGTTATTAATATAACTAGATATAAAGTTATTTTAAATTGTAATAATATTTCACAAAATTACTGTTTTTACTGTATTTTTGATCAAATAAATGCAGTTTTGGTGAGCATAAGGGACTTATTTTAAATAACAAAAATCTTACCAACCCCAAACTTCTCATTTGCTATATATGTTTCTAAGCTAATGATGTAGCAGCTGTTAGAAACTCCATATGTAAGTTTTAACTACCTTGGTGCTTGCTGATGGTCATACATAGTTAATAAGTGGCTGATGCTGATGGGACATTTGGCTAGTAATAGACTTGCCTACCTCTCTATTCCCAGTGACGTCTTCTTTTTCTTTGCGCATTTTCCCACATCTTTCGGCTCAGTGGACTTTCACATTAGTACAAACTCCATCACATATTCCCTACTGACTGCCTGACCTGTGCTCTAATACGTTTTCAATGAAGGCGAAAACAAAAGAATATTTTGTTTCCCAGCAGGGATGATTAGCCGAAATGGCTAATCGAGCAATTACGCCACAGTGAAGCTTTTAGATGTTTTGATATATAGAGAGGTGAGCCGAATGTAGCCAATGGATTTAATGATGTGGAAAACTAATTCTTTCATGGTGGTAAAACTAATTATGACAGATTGCTTTGAACCATTACAATGGAAATATGGACAAAGTACATATCTCCATATTAGTGTATACACAGGGGGCCCAAAAAAGTGTGATCCAAAATCTAAATTACAGCTGGAAATAAACAAAATTTTAGGATTTTGCAGAATTTATAACATTGCATTCTTTCAACTTTTCACTCAAATTGCAGTGTATATAATATATATATATTTTTTTGTTTTATCAAATCAAAACTGTTTTCACCAGCCACCATTTGAATCTCTGAAATGGAGACAGTGGTCAGTGGAAGGATATAAAGCAGGATGCTGAAATATGGCCATCACTCATTACCCTGGAGTCACCTTCACACCAATTAGCCCAC